AGAACACAGAGCTTGTCCTCTTCATGATCCACAACACTGAGGGGAAATGTAGCATGTGCATTATTGTAATAGGCTTGAACATTATATACATCCCATCATATATTTGTTGTGTGTGTGTTGTGGCTGTTGAAGAGAGGCAACACACTGACCTCGCTGAAGAAAGAATTAAAAATATCACCTTTTTTTTAAAATAGCACTTTCCACTGAATGACCATGTGACACTACAATAGCCGCACATTTTCTTTCCATCTTCCCAGTTAAAGTATACCTCTGAGTATTGAAATAATTCATTTGAAAATACTATATTTGCTGTTTCCAAATAAATTAGTGCATAAATCTACGTCGGTATAGCAGTTTAGAGCATTACACACTCAAGTTTGTAAAACTAATATCTAAAAGCTTCACTCTGACCAAGTCTTCTCCTCCGTCTTTGACACCATCCGCTAGGTGGCACTGTGTCTGTTTGGTAAAAGTTCTCATGGATACCCCAAAGGTATAGAGCTGTATTAACACCAAATTCTCCCACTTCCCACAGTGTCGAGAAAAGATGATATGGTTTTCTCCTCTGACCAAAGAAACTCTCTATATTTGGTGAATGAAAGTGCGTTTTGTTACCAGCACGCTCCCTTTGTTCTAAATACCCGCTTGCCTTTGTTATAGTAACCTCACTGTGAGTTACTTAAGAATCTACAGACAAGAAAAACTTCCTTGTCTATTCACACCGGGATTAAATGCAGGAGGAAGGTCGTGTGGAATATATATGTGTGTGCTTTTTTATACATTTATTGTTCTTTTTGTAAGTTGGTAAGAAAAAAACAAATGCACTGGATAATTAAAATCCACGAGAAGTACCGTGTCCAAGAGGTGTAAAATATCCCGAACCAAATACATTTATAAGCAAATATGTGAGCTGCACGCGTGAACACACATTCAGAATTACATAACACATAACACGAAATAAATTTGAGAAAAGCCTCAAAAACACTGTGTGACATATACTCAGATATGCTCTAATTCTTACAAATGTATTATTCGGACATTAGATGAGGGTGATAACCGCTCATATGTTTGTTATGCTGTGACTATTGTCTCAAAACACGAATATGGGCTGTTCTGGCAGTTTTGTGTCTTATCTTTGGATATGGCGCTACTTAACCTTACACAGATAGCCTAGGCTGTTGCAGGCCTCTAATTAACCTTTAAAAACAAATCAGGCTTATCTGTTCTTACAAAAATGTTGCCTTTTAAAGACTATAATACTAAGAGAACATTATTGATTATCGGAACCGAGGCCCAATACCGTCCATATAATTTAGTTCAAATAGTCTTTTAAGGGGGATTTTTTTAACATGTGGAATGAGGACAGTGTGATTGGCCGTCGGGTGTGGATCGACACTTTATAATATTAGTCTGACTGACTTTTTATCCTTGCATCGAATTTTTGTCTGTATTTCCGACTAGGCGTCGTAAATCAATCTACGGAGCTCAATACTGGGAAGTTTCATTATTCCTGATAGATTTCAGATTGAGATTTTGAATGTTTACGCAGTTGATTACACGTGAGAGCAAATCCAACCTTCGGATTATTAGCTCCGCACTAAGGATGCATACCAGTTCTTCTCAAATCATCGTCGTCATTACTATTATTTTAATGTAGGGCTAGAAAATCTGTGAACTCCTGCTTACTCGTCTAACCCCTTAGTTGGTATAACTAGATCCTTTTACAGTCAGGCTTTCTGTCATTGCACTCTAGCGTAAACTGTTAAAAGCACACTGGATACTGCGTGGATCACTCTGTTTAATTCATAAAAAAAAATGTAATTGACCGTGAGTGGAGAGGTCTAAAGGAGCAAACAGAACAGCATTGGGTAGAATTTAACTTCACGCAGTCTCATTCAGTTCATTTTCCCATTCCTTATCAGAATATAATTTTATGGTATACGCCAGTGTGGCAGAAAGTCTCTGTTATTTTTATTAATGTTGTGTTTTCAGCCGCAATATCCCATCTAGTGCAAATCCCCACTTGTGCTTTCTTTTGGGGCAAAACATTACTTTTAAAGTCGAATTTACGCACACGCACGAGTTTACAATCGCTCTTACTCTGCGGACCACCTTAACAGCGTTTATCCCGCCCTCAAGCTTTCTGTGGTCTCCGTGATTGGCTGAAATCTCGTGGATGGCAGTGGCTGTAGAAATGCAAAACTTGTTGCTGGATCCTCTGGACGCGTTGATCTCACACAGCGCCAAGCGGTAGAGCGGACAGCGAGTGTATCTGTGAATCGCTCCCAAGTGCACTCAGACCACACCAGACAAGACTCGGTAAACGGAGGGGACGCACGCATCAGGATCGAGACGCACGGAAAGGACTTTGGGATCTGCGCCTCGCTGCAAAGCGCATGACCGGCAGTGGGTGAAGGATGCTGTCAAGCCACTCCGTAGTTGTGGAGTGCGGGTAGCGCGCGCCGTGCTGCTCCTCCGGCTTTAGGTCGCATAAACAGACGCCCCGGTTCACCCGCGGCTGGGCTGGTCGTGTTTGTGGACTTTCCATCACACTGGACTTTTGGCTACATGCCTGCTTGGCCGTTTTTGATGTTTTGAAGGACGTCGGTGGGCAGTATTTATTTAAAGAAAGATTTTCTTCACTCAAAGCTTGGACTTTTTTTTTCTCCCCCAGCTTTATTTCCAGCATGGGACCTTATTCAGAAAGTCATTCTGGGACATTTGACATCAGATTGGAATAATGAATTAGCTGAGAGAAGCAGTTATTGCCCGTTTGATTGCTTCGAGTCCTCTGCGCTCACCCTTTAGTTTGTAAGCGAGCTGTATTTGTGCCATGTTCGCCCCGAAGAAATGCGCGCAGAAAAACTTCGGAATGTCATAGGTCGCTCGTGTAGCAAGTTTACTAGACGGATTTTCTATTCGTTTGTTTAATCAAAAAGACTAGTGTGCTGCACGCATTCACACGGGAACAGGGACACAGTTTACGTGCGTATTTGGACACAGTCTGTCCCTTCTCTGCGTCCTTGGAGAAGTTGGATAAATATTCACAGCAATGAGAACCTATTTGGTGAGTTTTGACATTTAAATGAGATAAATTGTCATAATCAGTAGATTCAAAAAATATCTGAATAGTTCTTCTGTATCTTTTTTTCTTTTACTTTTTTTTTTCCTTTTGGGGACAGACGGAAAAATAGACAGTGTGCCGATGTCTGGCAAACTGGCCGTCATGTGGGATTGATTGCAGGGGAGTATGTTTGGGCTGGAGCAGTTTGGTTCTCAAATTAATAGCAGAAACCCTGGCCAGTCAGAGAGAAACATAAACCAACAGAGACTGAACATGGGCTCCCATTATAAAGGCCCCGGTTTTCATGCTGGAGGCCCGCCGGGAGCCGTGGAACCCGGCATGGGCCCTCTGAGCGAGCCGCAAATGCTCGGGCTCAATATGAACATGAATGGTGAGCAGTACGGTAGCTTTCACCCGCGGGGACACTCAGACATGCATGCAGGCAGTGGACTTCAGCAGCAGCAGGGGCAAGGACCAATGCATGGATTTTTTAACAACCAGCAACCTCATCAAGGACATCCTCACGGCCATCAACCCCACCCCCACCAACATCACCCCCATTTCAGTGGGAATTTTGGAGGGCCAGAGCCAGGGTCATCATGCCTGCATGGCGGCAGGCTGATGGGCTACAACAACAATAACGGCATGGGACCACAGCAGGGCTTTGGAGAAGGATTTGATCCTCTTGCTGAGGGACAGACGGGGGATGGCTTTCCCCAGCAGCAGCAACAGCAACCGCAGCAGCGGCCTGGTAACATGCCTGACTTTCAGCATCATGGCCCTCCAAGTGGGAACCACGCTGTCCCTGCTCCCTGTCTCCCCCTGGACCAGTCACCTAATAGAGCAGCATCCTTTCATGGTCTTCCTTCTTCCTCATCCTCTTCATCTGAGTCTCATGGTTTGGAACCTCGGCGGCTGCCAAACCAAGGAGCCGTAGAGGGATTAGAATATAACTTTCCAAGTGAACCTCCATCTGGACATTTTGATGTACCTGTATTTTCTCCTTCAGAATCAGAATCTCAGTTACCACATTTTGGGCCAGGAAGACCAGTTCCCGGTGGGAATTTCCCAGGGAACGCTGGCATGCCACGGACACCAGGTATGCAGGGCATCTCTAAGGGACACCAGCCACCACCCCAGCCCCAGCAGCCTCAGCACGGAGTGTTTTTTGAACGTTTTGGAAATGGCCGGAAAGTGCCCGTGGGAATGGAGCCTGGGGTCAATCCAAGACATCCTCTCATGCAGCAACAACAACAGGCTGGTTTGATAGCCAGACAGAACTCATGCCCCCCTGGCCTCCCTCGACCCCCTCAGGCTGAGCCCGGCACTACTAACCCTAACATTCTGGATGGAGGGGTCATGATGCCTGGCCAACACAACCAGTTTGAATATCCCATTCACAGACTGGAAAACAGGGGCCTGCACCCCTACGGGGACCCCATGTTTAATATGCAACAGCCAGCTCCTCCTCCCTCCCAACAGCCTGCAAATCAGAGGCTCCAACACTTTGACTCTCCTTATATGAACATGGCGAAAAGGCCTAGATTTGACTTTCCTAATGCACATGGCGGCGAGGGCTGGTGTGGCGGTATGGACAACCACCTCTCTCCATCTGCCTACCCTGGCCTTCCTGGAGAGTTCACCCCACCCGTGAATGAAGGTTTTGGACCAGGTCCGCTGCAGCATCCAGGGCCCGAGCAGCAGTCTCTGCAGCAGCGCCAGAATGCAGCTATGATGATAAAGCAGATGGCCTCTCGCAACCAACAGCAAAGAATGAGGCAGCCGAGTCTACAGCAGTTGGGTCACCATGGCGATGTACCTCCAGGCCCAATGGTTCACGGAGGCCCAGTCGGGAGCATGCCTCATCCTGGCTTTGACAGGGAGAATAGTGGCAGGATGCCCAACATTGATGGGCAAAATCCTCATGTAACTCAGGAGAACTCCTGGTTTCAGGGGTCCCACCCACCAGGAGAAATGATGTCACGGCGTATGGGTGGAGCGGGTAATGAATCAGGGCCTCATGACATGGGGCTGCAGCAGAACGGCGCTGGGATAATGTTTAGGCCGGGCATCGGCATGCAGGAGCCCATGAGAATACCAGGAGATGGACATGTGCAGAACCTTCATTCCCCAGGCATGCACTCACAGTTCAGTGGCAACATGGGCAACCTCACACAAATGCAGTCTCCGGGAGCAGGAGCAGGACATCCAAATGCACCAGCAGAGAGACGGCCAGCTGACTTCCCTGCACCTTCAATGGGAGCACAGCCAGCTTTTCCCTATGGAGGGGCTAACCGTCAGGGGCCGGCTCACAGTGCTCCCCAGGGGGTGAGCACCTCACCTGGCAACTACCCTCCTCAGTCTGAGTTCCCCTCGGGCCAGCGGTCGTCTGTTAGTAAGCTTGGAAATCTGTCCCTCGGGAACTTCAGCAAAACCAGCTCTAAAGACAGTGTTTTCGGCCAGAGCTGCCTAGCGGCCCTTTCCACAGCCTGCCAGAACATGATCGCTAGCCTAGGGGCCCCCAATCTTAACGTAACATTCAACAAGAAGAACCAAAACGAGGGCAAGCGAAAACTGAGTCAGACTGAGCAGGACATTAATAGCAGCACATCTAATGGGACTGGCAGTGCTGGTCCTGAATATTTTCAGAGCAGCACTTCCCAGAACAGCCAGATGCCTGGCACTGGGAATAGCAACTCTAAGCCTGCAAGTCAAAGCCAGACGGTGCAGGGGGAAGCCAGTGCCCTCTCCCCAAATTACAACATGGACGCTACCCCGTGCAGTGAGGGGAAGGCAACAACAGGGAGTGGGAGAGGGAGAGGGAGGAGAAAAAGAGACAGTGGACATGTGAGCCCTGGAATTTTTTTTTCCTCTGATAATAGTAACCCTGTTGTAAGTCCAGGCCAGCAGACCCCCTCGGCTGGCGTTGGGGAGAGGGGTGGGGGCACGCCCCATGAGAAACAACTCCAATCGCCCTCTTGGGGGAAAGGAGGTGACCTAATGTTGGGGGACCAGGCTGACCTTATGTCTTCTTTAGACAGTGGCATTCAAAGTGTTGCCAAGTCTGACAGCAGCTCACCAAGAGTGGACTTTTCTGAAGATGTCAGCACCCACTATGGCAATGAGGATGAGGTGTCCTCCAGCTCAGATGCAGGAGGAGCCTCAGCCAGCAAACCTAATCGCAGCCCTATAATCAACGGCTCACCCAAAATGCAGAGGAGTGACCACGGGTTGATAAATGGACAAAAGCCCCTTGGCATGGGCATTAACAATCATACTACCTCGACGCCAGACACCTATGGACTGAATGCTGGTGTGGGCACAGGGGCCAGTGGGGTCAGCCACCCGGGCACTCCTGGGGTGGAACAGGTACGCACCCCATCCAGCACCTCTGGCCAGGAAGAAATCCATCCTCTGGAGATTCTGCAGGCCCAAATCCAGCTACAGCGCCAGCAATTCAGTATCTCTGAAGACCAGCCCTTGGCCATGAAGACAGGCAAAAAGAATGGCGACTGTCCCTCACAGAACGGAGACAATGAGCTGGCGAGCTGCAGCCCGGATGCTGGGAAGGGCTCAATGGGCACTATTGACCTTGACACCCTCATGGCAGAGCAGCACGCCACCTGGTACGTGCCCAGTGACAAGGTTATGATGGACGGGTCAGAGGATGACAAGGCCACGGGACCCTGGGAAAAAAATAAGAGCCAGAACAGCAGTAAAGAAGGTAAATGAAACAGTCTCTTTCTTTAAGTTTTAATTAATCTCTCACCATCGTCACAGTCTCTCTCATACGCCACTCACATTACACCAGCAGATCATGCTAATACAAATGAACAGATTTTCTTTCTTAAATGTCATTTATTTATTTTCAAAATCTGAAATGCAGTGATAACAGCACCAGTATAAATATGTAAAATAATCAGGTGACACTTACAAGAGAAAACATTTTGTCCACATTGCGCAGGCAGAAAGCAGCGTCTCCGTTTAACTGGGGCCTTTGGGTTTTTAGAGGTTTAACGTTTATAGGAGGATACTACATTTAATAGTAGAGCCATTCATAGTCTTGAAAAGAGAGAAAGACAAAGAAAAAATATTTTCTTTTTTGAATTGGGTCTGTAGTACGAAATGTAAAAAAACAACACACACACACACACCAGTATATATCTATATATAAACCGAAATAACAATAAGCAAAATAAACTTGCATCCATGCAAAGTATTTTATAGGGTTCTTCAGTCCTGAGGCACTTCAAAAGAACAGCTCAAGAAAAGTAAACATTTCCTGTGGCTCTTTATCTCGGTTTTCAGGGTGAACAACTACATTGTAAGATTAATAGCTTTCTGAGGATATGCGTTTTCGCAGCGGGGTTTCCCCCTCGCCTTGTTACGTGTTTGTTTTTGTTATTACCATGAGATAATACTGAGCTGCTGAAAGAGGATTTTTTTTTAACATTTGTTGGACAGGAGATTAGACAGCATGGTGATATTAATGCCATTCATTTTCAGTTTTGTTTTACGTTGGAAATGGAAATGGCGAAAAAGATGAAAGAGTTAAATGTTTTTTTAATTGTTAAATGTTTGTTTCATCTTGTTCCCTGTCCCTTTTGAATAATGTAAAATAATTGTATCACACAGTCAAAGTAGAAATATTTTTACTATTTACAGCACATTATTTTGGTTGTTTTGTTTTTGATTGAAATTGGAAAAAGAAACTGACTCTAAGGCACAGAACTAGTTTTTTAAACTGCAGTCTGCAGACGTGGTTTATGGATACAGTGCGATTTTATCTTCTTTATTATTATTATTATTATTATTATTATTATTATTATTATTATTATTATTATTATTATTATTTTCTTTGTATTTTTTTAGTGGCTCTAAATAAAAAAAAATGCAGACAAACAAATATACTATTTAGCTGTTAGAGCCATGATAATAACAATAATGAAATTAATAATATTAATAAATTAAATTTATTTTAAAAACCTAAATTTATGATGCTTCAATATGATTTGTCATTACGTGCTTTAGTCATAATCACATCGTTTTTGCAGTGTAACTGCATCATTAAGACAAGCTTTGTGTATTATAATATGCTACTTTAATTATTGGTGTTATATTTATTGCTTCTTTTAATTGTCTCTTCATTCTCATTTTATTTCCTTTTCGCGTGGGTTCTTTAGTCGCTCATTTCAAACCACAGCGTTGTACGGAGGCGTCTGTCGGTGTTAGCAGACGGACAAGCTTTTAAATGGTTGAACAGTGGCGGGTTTGCGCTGAAAGGCCCCTGCGTCTTTTGATATATAATAATAATATGGATAGGTTATATAATTGCGCGAGTGGCTTCGCGCGTCTCGAACGCCTCTTTGTTCTGATCGGCGCGAGCGCAGAGAGAGGGGCGGGGACGCGCATCGCGCGGACTCTGGAGTCCAGGCACACTTGTTTATGAGACTGAGCACAGGACGTCTCGCTGTAGCAGTGGTGGCATTACATCTAAAAAGCACTCTGACTCACCATTTAGGTTTTTTTGTGTTCACCCGGTCATAAAGTAACTGTAACAAGCGGTGTGCTGCATATTAATGTGATCCACAATCAGCCAAACTGGTGCATTTCTGCTCACCTATCCCTGTGCTTCCTCATAATTAAAGAGGCTTCTGTTGTCAGAGATGTATAAATGGTAACTCATTTTGATTATAATTACTGAGCAAATCTAACAATGATGAGCAGTCAGCCACACTCATCCTGCTGCATTTACTATTTTAATTCCTCTGGGGCTGATGGCACATTTAAAAAAATTTCAACAGGCAAAAATCAGTAATTTAAGGCAGAATAGTCCTCCTCTCCTTCCTCTCTCCTCTCCTTCCTCTCCTCCTCTTCTCTCCTTTCCTCTTTCAGTCCTCCCTGCATGGACACAAGGCATGCAGCTCTGGAGCGATCGATAGCTAGTTAGCACAAATCACGGCTCCTGACAGTTTCTCATTTGAGTGCTTCAGACAGCAAAGATGAAAAAAGGGTGGAGGTGTATTTGAGAGGGGGGAGGGGGATTTTAAGATTGAATCTGATGCTTAGGCTACACAGAAGGGAGCAAAATAACATAATAATTTAAGATAAATCATAGCCCACAGTGTAGTTCCATAACATCCCACAGGCTTTTCACACTGCAAAAAATATCCATCTCCACCACTGAGTCGAGTTATAAGTCCTCAGCCTTGTAAACAAAAATCTGCCACTGGCAAGATAATGCCAGTGACACTAATGTAAAATAAATCAAGGCGATTCTTTAGTCCATTAGGCTTAACGAAATTTAACTGGGTCATAGAAAAATGACCATTTTAATTACAAAGAACTTAATTTGTGTAATTCCAGTAAAAATGATTCTCCCTCACGTATCTGGACATTTTAACGAATGGTCAAAGATGACATGACTTGTTAAGATATTTCTGTGCTGTGGAACTATAACTGTCATGTGAGTCATACGTGCTTGGGTAAAAAGAAGTGCAGCCATGTTACATTTTTTTTCCTTGCAGGTCAAATAGTTCTCTGACCCCTTCAAAAAAACCACACTTCTTTCCTCACCACAGCATATACACACAGCACATGTCTTAGTATTTGTTTAGAATTATGCAAAGATTCTTTTTATTCTTGTGTCAGATCAATAACTTCAGTAATGATGAACAGTAATAGATAAAAGCCTTGTTTTAAAGGTGAAAACATACTTTGAAATTTAGTTCAGTTGTCTGGCATTCATCTTTTCAGAGAAGGTATCTCTATATGAAAAATGGCTTATTTCTAGAGAAACTTGAGGCTTTGTGCTCAAAGTGTTTTTACTCAGTTGTGTCAAGAAATTTACCTTGAGAAGTGGACCAGGTCAATCAGCAGGCTGTGTGTACTTTGGATATCTGTATCTGATGAGGTGAGAATGACCAGCGTTGGGGGTCAAGGATCACTTTAGTTCCTTTGAAGTTGAAGCTTTTCAATCTCTGATCACCGTTTCACTCAAATGTAAAGTAGGGAAGTGTAGAATAATTGCTGTTGCCGTGTGTATTTGTCTTTCAGGAGGATTTCAGTAGCTATATATCTTGCTATGCTTTAAATAAGCCCCAGTGCTGATATTTACAAGAAGTGTGTAACTTACTGGATGCTTGAGTATGCAGATAAAAGCTAAACTGTGCTTATAGGAACTGTATTCTGAGCGCTGATATCTGTGCATCCCGGCTCACATCTCTGTGGTCCATTTGTGCCTGTTAAAGTGATGCGTGTGGCAGTAATGTCCCCCACTGGACCCCATACTTGGCCTCCTATCTAAGTGACGTTGTGCAGCGCAAGTCTTTCGCCCAGGCACAGCAATACCAGTTGCTATAAGCCCCGTGGCCTGCAGAGTCTGGTGTTCTGCTCGGCTTCCCCGAACTCTCAAGGAGGTTTAGCAAGGAGGAAGAAGTTTTTAGGTGTACACGATCAACTTTCCCATGTCAGTTAATGTTATTTCTCCTTTTTCTAAAAGCATGTTTTTTTACGCTCTTCCTCTTCCCTTCTCTTCTGTATATCTTTGCCAGAAGCTGACCGCTCATTTGGAAAGTCGTGCATAGTCAAGATAACAGGCGAGCAGCAGGCGTAGGAAGTGATTCAGTTATTTTTATTTTTACTTTTCACTGTTTTTTTTTTTTTTTTGCCCCCGAAAAAAGTTTTTTTTTTCACACTTCACAGTTGACCTCATAGAATAGTTTTCACTCTTCACGCTCAGTAATCAGTCCTTAAACAGCTTTAATAATGATCAAATCTGTCACTCTGACTTTGACAGCTTTGAAAAGAAGGAGCTTTCGTCTTATCACACCTACGAGAAAGTACTTAAAGCACAAAAAAGGAGGCTGTATTGATAGCATGGAGAACAATCCTGTGAGACTACCTGGCTTTGACATTTCGGTACGACAACAGCTCCTCAAATCACACCAGTAATTTGTGCTTCCTTTTTCTAAAATAGAAGAAAGTGATTGGCACGTGCTTGAAATGTGGAGGGGGGAGGGGAAAAAAACAGCTTGGGGCAGTCTGTGTTCTTTACCTGTCATTACAAGGTGTTTTATATCGACTTTTTTTCCCCCCCCAACAACACACATCCACCAGGCCTCGCCCGCACACTTCTGCACTTCATCATTATGATAATCATAGCAATTAGCATTGTTAATATTGTTTTCCGAAAGTCATAATTCATCTTCCAGTGACTACTTCAAGCTGACTTGGTTATTGACAGGTTCATCCAAGCTGCAAAGGACGGTTAATTTTTAGCAGCACAGATGTATTAATGCAAGAAAAGGGCAACACTTGAAAAAGTGTCTGTAGTGTGGACATAAAAAAACAAACAAACAATATGCATTAAAATATTTTAATGTCAATTTTTTTTTTTACTCCTTTAGCGTGTGTTTGTGTGTGTGTGTGCGCTGGCACTGCAACTTGCATATGCATTTGCCTGCTGTGGACATAAAGTTTAATTTATTTAGACTCAGTGTCATGCCCACGGCTTCAGCCTCAGATCTCAGGTGTCTCTCCCGTTGGAGCGCGTGCACAGTGATTCCTAACAAAACATTTAAGAGTATTTACTCTGAGGGTAAAGTATACAGTATCGAAATGCATCCGTCTTTATATTTAAAGCATCTAGATTTAAGACAGTTTCTGTTTGTTTGCGTGTGACATGTGCGTGGTTTTCGTGTTGCTTGGGATCTTTGCAAGACA